TTTTAAACGCATTGTTATTTCTAACCATTATAAAAGAAAAGAAACAAAATATTATTTCTTTTCTCTTTTTTTCCCCTTTCCTTCTTGTTTTCCCCCTGTTTGTTCTTAGTGTATAAAAGCAGATTGTTTACCCTTAAAAATTTCTTGAATGTGTTTAGATCAAATAGTGTCACCAGAGAGGGTCCTTGCTTTGTTCTGAACCATAATGAATAAAAGATAGCAGCGGAAATGAATATCAGTAAACTGTATACAATAGTTTATACAAATCATTCGGGACGGTCCTCAAAAGACAAAAGTGTGTATCGTATATTAATATTTGTATTGGTAGAATATTTGCATGAACATTTATGGTGTCTATAGTACTAGGGTTTTTTAATTGTTGAAAATAATCTGATAAGGAAAACAAAATGATAATTTCTTGATCTGTAAGGAAGTTAATAATTCTATAATACATCTTCGCTAGCCAAGGGTTACGATCCAATCCCCCTCCTAATGAAGATGAAGGGACATGATCGTAAGCCTTGGCTAGCGAAGATGGTAATAATGGTGCTGTTTCTTAAAAGAAATCCAATGCCACCAAACTGGATGTATATATAAACGTAGTAGCCTCTCGAGCAGAAGAGGAGCAATTTTTAATTTTGAACTTCTAAATGACAACTGTATCAAAACAAGATTATAGATTGGCGCCTGTGTCACTGTGTGGTCCAAACGAGGATTGTCCTGATTTGTTAAGTCATAGGAAAGAAAAATTTGTCATTGTGATAATTCATCCGAATTTTTACTTAGTCAAAATGCAGACAGCTCCTCTCTGATTCTGCATGAAAATGAGGAATCTCGTAAACAAGCTTTGCATATATTTGATTGCCTCGCTCCTTGTGCTAGTTTGAGAGTAAATGTAGATAAAACTGAAGCCATATGGGTTGGTTCAAGATTAGGCTGTAATGAAAAACTGTTACCAAATAAGAAATAATCATGGATTAAATCAGGAAAGTTTAAACTGTAGGGAATTCGTTTCAATCTCTTAAATGAAGATAAAACTTTAGAAAACTGTACAGAAAAAAATTTAAAGCATGAAAAGCCTTCTCAATTTATGTTCATACAGGAACTTGACATATATTGGCTAAACCATTGTTATAAAAACTTTGGCTCTCCTACTTTTGGTACAGGTTCTGACAGTTCTTCCAAATCCACCCGTTCAGATTATGCAAGAATTACAAGGAATTTTCATCATTTTTTATGGGATGGAAAGCCAGACAAAATAAAAAGGAAAGTTATAAATAATTATGATGAGGGAGATTTAAAATTCCCCCATATAGAAAGTTTTTGTATGTCCCTTAAAATGTCATGGCTTTATAAAATGCTAGATCCCTTGAATCTTTCCCCTTGGAAGATTTTATTATTAAGTTATATAGAAAAATATGGGGGAATAAACTCTTGCACCTGACTAAAGAGGGTTTGGAAACTTTTGCAAAAAAATTAAATCCTTTTTGGAGAGGTATTTTTTATTAATCTGTCCAAATTGAAGCTAGAAAAGATGATAAATGAAAAGAATGCCATAGACATCCTACGTCAACCCATTTGGCTGAATATTAATATCAAAGATATGGAAAGCCATTTGACTATTTAAATTGTAATGAGGGTATATATTTCATAAATTTCATAAATGATCTAATCTCAGATGGAAAAAAAACATACTGACATTTGAACAGCTTAAATCTCAGTTATACGGTAAATATCAATTTTGTTGAATAATATGGTCTTGTTAGTGCAATCCGATGGTAGCTGGAAAAAAATAATTTCAGAGCACGGTAGATTATATATCATTGACAATGATATTGTAGAAAAACTAAACAAGAGTGCACACGCTGAAATGTCTCGCCTTCTTTACTAACCATTGATTTTATGTTGATAGTCCTAAATACAAAGCTTTACTACAAGTAACACATAAACTTAACATGATCCAAGAAAATGAGGTCAAGGTCAGATAAACCAAACGAGAAATACATGTACACCTTACAATCATTCAATAAACCAAATATAGTTGACCTATTCCTTATTGTTTCTAAGAAACAGTTTTAAACAAGAAAACTTAACATTGACCAATGACCATGAAAATGAGGTCAAGGTCAGATGAACCATGCCAGACAGACATGTACACCTTACAATCAATTTAGGCATTTAATATAGTTAGCCTATTGCTTATAGTATCTAAGAAACAAACTTAACCATGAAAACTTAACATTGACCAATGAACCATGAAAATGAGGTCAAGGTCAGATGATACCTGCCAGACAGACATATACACCTTAAAATCCTTCCATACATCAAATATAGTTGATCTATTGCTTATAGTTGAAGAAAAAACAGACCAAAACATAAAAACTTAACACTGAGAAATGAACCGTGAAAATGAGGTCAAGGTCAAATAAAACCTGTGAGACTGTCATGTACATCATAAAATATTTCCATACACCATTTATAGTTGACCTATTGCATAAAGTATTAGAAAAAAGACCAAAAACTCAAAAACTTAACTTTGACCACTGAACCATGAAAATGAGGTCAAGGTCAGATGACACCTACCAGTTGGACATGTACACCTTACAATCATTCAATATACCAAATATAGTAGACATACTGCTTATAGTATCTGATATATGGACTTGACCACGAAAACTTTACCTTGTTCACTGATCCATGAAATGAGGTCGAGGTCAAATGAAAATTGTCTGACGGGCATGAGGACCTTGCAAGGTACGCACATACTAAATATAGTTATCCTATTACTCATAATAAGAAAGAAATTAACATTACAAAAAATGTTGACTTTTTTTCAAGTAGTCGCTGAACCATGAAAATGAGGTCAAGGACAATGGACATATGACAGACGGAAACTTCGTAACATAAGGCATCTATATACAAAGTATGAAGCATCCAGGTCTTCTAGCTTCTAAAATATAAAGCTTTTAAGAAGTTAGCTAACGCCGCCGCCGCCGGATCACTATCCCTATGTCGAGCTTTCTGCGACAAAAGTCGCAGGCTCGACAAAAATGATAAAAAAAACATGTAAACATTTTTATCGATTGTTTCTAGAAAATATCAAAGAAAATCCTTCAAGATCACAATACAAATGGTACGAGGATTTATGTGTTGAAATTGAAGATTAGGGGATAAGGAATCTACTCTATTGCATTTCAAGCAACAAAAAAACATTAAACTTAAATTTTTTTAGTTCATGTTATTACATAGAATTAAAGGTACAAACTCTTTTCTTGTAAATGTTGATTTACAGAAACAGATATGTGCACTATTTGCACTGAAACCAAAGAAAGCTGATTGCATATCTTTTGGGAATGTGTATACAGTAGAAATATTTGGATTGCACTTTAAAACATATTATTAAACTGTGGATCTACCCTGAAGGCATGTTATTTTTGGTATGGGGGAAATTTTTAAACAATATAATACAGTTCAAAATATAATGTTGATTTTAAAATATTATATTTATAGCTGTAAAAATTCACAGAAAACCCTTCTGTGAAGGTAGTACTGAATATTTAAAATATTGTATAAGAATAGAACAAACGGTGAATTATGTATCCCCTACACAAAAATATTATATACATATAAAAAGAAGATGTGGTATGATTGCCAATGAGACAACTCTCCACAATAGACCAAATGAAACAGAAATTAACAACTTTAGGGCACCGTACGGCCTTCAACAATGAGCAAAGCCCATACCGCATAGTCAGCTATAAAAGGCCCCGAAATGACAAATGTAAAACAATTCAAACGAGAAAACTAACGGCCCAATTTATGTACAATATAATGAACGAAAAACAAATATGTAACACAGAAACAAACGACAACCACTGAATTACAGAATGTGGCTGGGTTAAACTAGTTTAAAGGCGCCAACCCTCCCCTAACCTGGGACAGTGGTGTAACAGTACAACATAAGAACAAACTATAAAAATCAGTTGAAAAAAGCTTAAATCATCAGATGGATACAAATAGAAATACATCTAACAAAAACACAAAGTGGACGTGGACGGGTACTTGTACATCCCAACAACAAAAAGACACTAAGTACAGATGTATATATAATGATTGATTGATTGGTGTTTAACGCCACTTACAGCACTATTGTGCTATTTCGTGGCGGTCAGATTTTATTGGTGGAGGAAGCCGGAGTGCCCGGAGAGAACGACCGACCTTCGGTAGGAACACTGACAATCCTAGTCAATTAAGGTTGGAGTCGATATGTATATATATAAAATGGTTGCTATTTAGAGTTGATGTAGTAGAATACACTTTAAACGAAATATCTTAAAGACCATACTTAAAACTCTACACATGTAATCAAGCTTGATGTATTCTGTCTTTATGTCAAAAATAAACAAATTACAAAACAAATTCATCACTTATAGTCATTGGAGACTGGTATGGTGTGCTAAGCTATGGCCTAGAAACTATAAATCACAAAATAATCCCAGAACACAAATAATTAAATTCAATGAAATAATGAACTTTTTTTTTACATATTTGGATGTTTTTAATGTTGAATTTTATAAATTTATATAGAATGACATAAATTTCCTCTTGTAAAATGCCAAAATGAGAGTCTTTTTCAGAGGAAAATTTCAATAAGTCAAGTTTTGGTTTGTTTTTTTTTTGCATTTTTAAAGGAAAATATAAAGATTTTCTTGAAAAATTCGCGCCGAACTGCAATGCATTGTTTGGATTAAAAGTTAACCAATTACTATCAATTCATGACACAAAATCACTAAGCTCACACGAAAAAAACAAAAGCAAGGGAACAGCGCTTGTATTGCTGTTCTTCATCTTAATGTCAAAGTCAGAGAGAGGCCTTCACTATAGTGCAAAAAAACGTTCACATGATTGCAAGTTCAAGACAGTCCCAAGCACTTGTTTGAACGGGATTCTTTGCTAGAATTCAGTCACGATACAAGTCGGCATAAAGAGGAACTCATTGAGAAATTTAAAGTGTTTAATTTTTAAAAAGAAAATATGATTTGTTTCGTCCCAATGTAGACAATATTTATATCTACGATGGTCACGTTCTTTCAATCTGTTATGAAGTTTCAGTTAATATCAGTTCCAGGCGCTTATTCCATTACCTGTGCAACATCAATGATAAACATTAAGTTACCAGCAATGAATGCCACGATATAAAATATAAGTGAAATCGTATCAAAAGCTTTCGAGACATCTTGCCAAGTAATTTTCTTTGCATTACCATTGTATTCTATGCAATGATCAACTTTCTCCCCGTTCCGAAGATCATGAACTTGATTTTTTCCTCGACAGCAAAGCTGGTATGTAACGATTTTTTTCATCCAATTCGGAATTGGCTCATCTTCAGTTTTGTAATAAAATCTAGAGCTCATGATGACGGATCCTACAATTAAACCACTCATAACAAGATTAATCATAAGAGTTACACAAATTGCAGAAAGTCTTGGTACAGCGGAAGCTGGTAGTAATCCTTGTGCGATCGTGAGAAATACTACTACAGCTAATAAAAGAGTTACTGAAAATCCAAACCTTTCTCCTGACTCAGTCGGTAACAGAAAAACACCTATGTTCAGAAGAGCAAGAAAAATAACCGGAATTATCAATGTCATCAGTAAAAACATTGGACGTCTCTTAAAGTAGAAGGTATATCTTACTGTTGGTGTTACGGTGTTAGATACGTTGACAGACGTTTTACTTAGTTCCCATTCACTATTCGTAGAATATGAAGATGTATGAACGGTAGAAAGTGACGAGTAGAAAGTAATGTCGAAAGTAGAATATCCCCATGCTATAATTTGCATAGTACACTCTTGTGTATCAAATGGAAAATAGGTTATATCTATATCGCATGTGAACTTCAAATTTTGTGCTGGAAGCCATTTAACTTGTCCGTCATAAAGTACATATAATGATAAATCCTCCGGATTGAAAATCGAGAATTCTCTAGCACTATTTGAATTAATCAACGGAGGCTTCCAGATAGCGTCTTCTGGTAATATAATATACCAGGCATTGTCGTAATCGGAGAGAGTCCATATCATGCTGTTATCTGTCCATACAATATCAAAATAACCAGTCATTGAAACTATTCCTTCAACTGCATTTATTTCCTGCAAGTTTATTATAAAAAATTCTATAGTAATTACTGTAGGATCGTTTAGATCTACCTCTGGTCTTAAGTATTTGTTATGTCCAGAGGTAAGGTTATGATACAAAGAATTCATCACGTTAAAAGATGCTGCATCGGTGAGAGAGAAAACTAATACATATAGAAATGCTGATGTGAATATTGCTTTTTTATTATAATTTGATCCCATCGTGGTATAGTATTATTATTTTTCTTCCACTGTTACGTTCACCTGAAGTAGGTTTTAAATCAGTAATCACTTGGACTGACCAAGTATATATTTTGAAATTTAATTCGGAGATTAAATATTAATGACATGTTCGTGACTAGAACACAATAACCACCGCATTAAATCATAACTAATTTCCGTAGAGCAAACGATATATATGTTGACCATTTGAAATCATATTTACCTTATAAAAATTTTAAATGCATAACGCAAGTGGTTCTCTTGCACTTTGTGTTTATCAAAACACTGTTGTAAAACACATAAAATGTTTTAACGAAAGTTTAAAGATATAGGGTCAATTTTCAAATTTATTTGACACTAGGACGATTTTAAAAGTGTTTCATTCTTTGCTTAATTCACAGTATCAAAGCTCAATTCATTTAATTTGAGATTCTTACAATATTATGGTTAATTTCTCAATAGATTACTCTTCAGTAAACGCCTGAAGATAGCACAAAACTTCACTATTGACAAATTTGCAATGTTTAACACAAAAATGTATATAAGGAGGACATCCTTAGCCAAAACCAGCATTTTATTGGCAGCACTGTCTTTCCGATACAGATTTATGCAGTTTGAATATAAACGTCCTTCAATGCTAAATTTGCCAATGCGAGTAAAAGTAATACAGGGGTAATTTGGATACATCGAATTTAACTTTTTCCGCACATACGAAATATACATGGTAAATGAAAAAAAATCGTGATTGGACATAATTGAGTAAGAAAAAAACAAGGAAAGAAATATTATTCTCAACACGGTCAACAATTTTTAATGTGTTTGAAAAAAGTAAAATAACAAAAATACCGAACTCCAATGAAAATTCAAGTCGGAAAGTCCTTTATTAAATGGCAAAATCAAAAGCTCAAACACATCAAACGAATGGAAAACAACTGTCATATTCCTGACTTGATACAGGCATTTTCTTATGTAGAAAATGGTGGATTAAACCTGGTTTTATAGCTAGCTAAACCTGAATAGCATACGCTGATGTAAAATTAGGTCTTTTTTTTTACATGTAGTTTTTACAGGGTAAAACTGTTAACCTTATTTAAGAAGAAATATTGATAAAAAAAAACTTTAAACGAAAGCTCTGAACACGGATTGATTTTCAACATAGTTGTGTGATGGTATTGCAACAGACCATTTCATGGCCAGTCACAAGAGTAATCAAATAAACATTTTAATACTCATGATTTTACTTGTCACAGGCAAAGTACAATGCCTATGATTTCATCTTCAATTTCCGCTGTTGAAAACGTTTGCTGATATTTCATTCATTGCTTCTTGGAATAATGACAATAAACAATTATGGCCCATAGAAAAGGTAAGAGACTCCAGGGGTTATTCATCGATGAATAATATGGTTATTCACCGAACATTGATAATTTTTCGAGTTATTCGCCATTCCTTGCATTAAAAATTCGTAAGGGTTCCGCGGAACCCAGTGTCTCGCCTACTTTTTCTGTTAATCGCAGGCTCAACAAAAATGAGGAAGTAAATCAATAAAAATATTCCTCTTGATACTATATTTTGATTGTAAGAAGCTTCTGTCCAAGTTTGGTAAAAATCCAGGATAGTTTATGAATCTAATAAATGTTTAAAAACTTTAACTGCAGACTGAATGTAATGTTAACTGGAAGAAAACAAAATTTCCTTCTAGATACTAGCATTTGATCATACACAAGCTTCTGTCCAAGTTTGGTACATATCCAAAATTGTATAAGAAAGTTATTAAAATTTTTAAAACTTTAACCACAGAGTGAATATGTTGTTTCCTGGCAGAAAATCTAAGTCCATTTAAAAGTAAAATACGGAAAAAATGGATTTATTTTTTTACAAAATTTCCTTCTAGATACTATCTTATGATCATAAACAAGCTTCTGTCCAAGTTTGGTACAAACCCAGGATAGTTTAAGAAAGTTATTAAAATTTTAAAAACTTTAACCACAGAGTGAATGTAATATTTCCCGGCAGAAAAACTAAGTCCATTTATAAGTAAAATACGGAAAAAATGGAATTTTATTTTTACAAAATTTACTTTTGAATACTATCTTATGATCATAAACAAGCTTCTGTCCAAGTTTGGTAGAAGTCCAGGATAGTTTAAGAAAGTTATTAAAATTTCAAAAAATTTAACCACAGAGTGAATATTTGTGGACGCCGCCGACGACGACGCCGACGACGACGCCGACGCCGACGGAATGTAGGATCGCTATGTCTCGCTTTTTCGACTAAAGTCTAAGGCTCGACAAAAATGAAAGTTAACCCAATTATTTCGTGTCACGTGATAATGTATTACCTTATAGAGATAACTGGGGACAGGGTTCTCTTGAAATATTTATTTATGTTTGTAATTGATGTTGTTTTGTTTATGTTCGGTTATATGTTATAGTTGTTGTATATTATGACATGTGTGTTCTCTAGACCGTAGTCCAAAATGTAATGAGTTGTTTACCATATCGAATGAATAAGTGAGCTGGGATTTCTTGAAAAATAAATACATAAATATAAGACGTTGGTAGTAATTAAATATAAGCTGAACAGAACTTGCAAATTTTTATAAACATTTTGAGTGTGCAAAAACACGAAAATAAAATTGTGCACAGTAATTGGATGTCAATACCAGTATGATTCGTTATTAATAATGTACTGTCATGTCTGTTTTGCAGAGTGGACACATATTCCACAGTGGCTTGTTATTTTGTTTTCGGTAAGGGAGGGGGTGGCCCGGGGCGTTGGATGAAAAGATTTGAATATGTATTAAATTCACACCTGTACCCAGTTGTTGTTTCCCATACAATATATTTACTTTCTCATTGTTATTTTTGTATTGCTGAGAGCATTCTCTCGAGTCGAAACATGCCATGTCCTTTATGTTATTCACTTGCATTTTTTTCATTCATATATCTTACAAATGCTGCTTTAAAACTTTTTTACAATCTGTAAAATTGAATCTATTGCTATCTGTTGCTCATGTGGAATTCCATCAGCTTTAGTCACTGTCATAAAGAATCGAGCTCGAATCTTATCAAGTTAGGTGTTGGTATTTCCTCTTTCTAGATTTCGAAATTCAGCGTTCGTTTTCAGCTATTTCTTTAAAATGCGCATGTCAATTTCATAGACTCTATGAAGTCTTCCGGTCATTCGACTCTGCTTCAATGTGCAGTTCTATGTTGTCTGAGACGTGTTCTAATCTTCTTTTCTGTATCTTCCTCCTGCTATCGAGGAGCACATTTAAAAAGATATAAAAGTCTTCGTCCATTAATGTATGGTCTTAAATAATTATATTTGTAAAAGGTAAATATTTCAAACTGAATTAAAAAAAAATTGTATTCGTGGTTCCGTAGTCAGCATAATATGGCAAGACAAGGCCGCTAATACTTCTGTCATTTCTAGCAAGCACGCCGCGCCAAACAATAAAGCCGTTCAATAATGATATAAGTTAGCATGTAACAGTCTAAGCACAAAGGTGAAAAATAAAATGGAAATCTATTGATAATCAAATAAAGAAAGTACTAGATACTAGCTGTTAACTATCACTTATTTGTATTCATTGAGTTCAATCACTTTAAATGCAGATCAAAGCACATCTTACGAGATACAGTATATATTGTTCAGTAGCTCTACGTCATTAGACAAATATTCTCCAACTAGTTTCCTACAGTCTGTAGTTAGCTGGCAGATAATGTCTCTATCTTAAAACTTGTTACTTCACTGAGTACTTCTACTTTTAAGGACAATCTATTGTTTAATGGATCCATTATGATTTCTAGCTGGACGTTTGGTAAAATGTGAACGAGAGTTTCTTCTTCAATTCTACAGATCCTACAGATTGAATCGATGGTGTCTATATTAAGTTTTGCCTTGTTTGATTATAACATTTAAATTTGAGTAAGAATTCTTGCTTTAACGATTGTTATTTTTATGTCCCCATGCATGTTCACATCTGTGTTCCAAACTGAGCGAGTTCAATATTTATCGAAAAGTGAAATAACAAAAATATCGAACTCCAAGGAAAATTCAAAACGGAAAGTCCCTTATCAAATGGCAAAATCAAAAGCTCAAACACATTAAACGAATGAAAAACAACTGTCATATTCCTGACTTTGTACAGGCGTTTCCTAATGTAGAAAATGGTGGATTAAACCTGGTTTTATAGCTAGCGAAACCTCTCACTTGTATGACAGTCGCATAGAATTCCATTATATTGACAACAATGTGTGAGCAAAACAAACAGACATAATAGGTAAAAATGTCAAAAATTGGGGTACAGCAGTCAACTTTGTAATATAATCTTTATCACTATAAAACAAATAACTAATTCAACAAAGAAAAACAAAACGGCATATAGACACTCTATAGACAAAGTATATAGCTAAAATGAAAGACAAGAATGGGTTTATGTCAAGATGGTGAAGTGTACATTTTTTAGACACTTCTGTGTTCAGCCTGCCATTCAAGAATTCGATGGTTGCAGATCTTGTTATATGTTTTCAACTTATTTTGGATGGTGTGTTTCCCCATAGTTCCTCTATTGTAGGCAAGTTGTATTGTTCTAGAACGGAGTCCATTCTTTCTAGATAAGTTCTTTGATTAATTAGGAGACGATACTGTCTTAGTTGGATTTCCTTTAGATTTTGATATTCCAAAACTAAAATAGAAGGGAGAAGACTCAGTTTTCGTTTGAGGAGCGAAGCTTGAAGTGGAAGTCATCAAGTAATATATTAATTCCTGCTGAAGTCGTC